GTAACTGTAGCGTCTCAGCTGCTGACACCCAGCCTACCCAAACTAAAATTAGCTAAGGCACAGCCGTGCACCTTCTCAGCTGCAGAATAGGCATGTCCCAACAAAATAACATTAGACCTCTTGACAGTTTGGCCTGAATAACCCTGCAGAATAATAAAAGCAGCTCACGTATTCCTTGCATCTTTACTACAGGTAATTCTGGAAGAAACGAGCACCTTGTAACTGGAAAAGAAGTATCTTCTCCTGATTACGTGGGTATAAACAGAGAATGATCTATCGGTGAAAAGACAGTAATCACCTACACAGCAGAACCCTGGCAGACCTCTTTGACTCCTGTGGAAATGAGCTACTCTTTGCTCTGCATCCAGCATTACAAGCAAATAATAATCTTATGCTTAATTAACAGCTATTAAAACTACAGCTCACTTTATCAGCTCGACTCCATTCAACCTTTTTTAAGGATTCATCCATTTCCCTAATCCACTTTTTTCTGGTCAAGGATTCCTGATGGATGATGTTCCACAGTTCTTCCAAACCCTGCAAGAAGGATTTACTCACAATCCCACTGAAAAGTAAATGTCAAAAAAACCCCAACAAACCCCAACAAAACAAACAAAAAAACCCCAAAAAACAAACAAGCATTTATATCTTAAAACTACAGCAAGACATAAGAAGCTGTGTTACACAGGCCAGGTACAAATACCGAAGATGAGATAATGGCATGAGCTGCCTTACTTCAAACGAGAAACCTTCCAGAGTAGTGTCAAACTCAATCTTTTTAAACAGAAGTTCAATTTTTCTATCAGATTCCATCAGTTTTGTCAGAAGGAATTTTCCAGGCTCCAAAACAGAGGGTTCCAACTCCTAAAAAGGTAAGGATCTTTTGAATATTAGGTCTGACCTTTTGAATATTAGGCCCTGACCTTAGTATAGCATTCCAGAGTATCTGGATTACAAAATCCAGTCTTACCCTGGCAATGCAGGCAAGCTCATGATACATTGAGGTTAGTGCTTCATCATGACGGCCTTGCCGGCGTTCTGACAGGCGTTCCAAGATATTACTCCTTGTTTCCTCAGGAACTGCCAAGAAAGAAATGAGGATGATGTAGCTTGGAACTGTTGCTGCAGAATACAAATCAAGTGCACCCTCAGCAAGTTTGCAGATGACACCGAGCTGAGTGATGCGGTCGACACGCCAGAGGGACAGGATGCCATCCAGAGGGACCTGGATGAGCTCGAGAAGTGGGCCCGTGTGAACCTCATGAGGTTTAACAAGGCCAAGTGCAAGGTCCTGCACCTGGGTTGGGGCAACCCCCGGTATCAATACAGGCTGGGGGATGAAGGGATTGAGAGCAGCCCTGCCGAGAAGGACTTGGGGGCACTGGTGGATGAAAAGCTGGACATGAGCCGGCAATGTGCGCTCCAGCCCAGAAGGCCAGTCGTATCCTGGGCTGCACCAAAAGCAGCGTGGCCAGCAGGGCGAGGGAGG